ATGGTGAGGCCAAGCTGGGGATGGTCCAGAAAAATAACACCAGAAGAATATTCAAAGGATTCGAGCTGTTTCAAACTATCTTTATTGTTTCCTCTCTGAGAGCACTATAATACTTTGTGTTCATCAGCTGGGACATTTTTTCCATTTCTCTGGGAAGGTTTTCACCCCATTCCAAGAAGAAGATCTGATTTAGGACTACTCTGCCCTGGCTGGACTCTATCCACAGGTGTCAACGAATGGTGGTTCCCACTCTGATGAGGACTTTGTGACGGTTCTCAAGCAAATGCTCTTATTCATACCTTCATACACATCTTACTCTTCCTGCAGTGTCCTTTTTCCTTTCTTTTTAATATGTTTTTCAGGCTTTTTTTCTTGAATTATGCGTTCAGTTTTGCATCCTAAGTGACTCTCAGGTCTGTTGGACTGGATATACCATCCCCAGTATATTCACAATTTTATTCTGTGCAGTGGAGCTGAACTTACAAAACTTTTACATAATTATGTCTTTGTTTCTAACATCTCCATAGATGTCCCATAGCATTATTCAGGTATGTGTCTCAGCCCAGTTCTTCTTTCAGTCTAGGAAGAGAAGTTTGCAGCTTTAAACTCGCTCAGAAGAATACTTTTGGCTTGCCTTCCCTCCCCTGGCCTACAATTTCATGTTAATGTCTTCTATCTGTAGCTTCAGGAAACAAGGCTAATTCTTCTCTCCCTTTCTCTCTGTGAGCTGTCATGCAAGGTACCCAGAAGTGTGGCTGTAACAATAACAGGCTACTTAATTTGAGAATTAGCTCTGGGGATTCAAAGGCTGTGAGCCATGAGTGTAACTTCACAGGAGCCTGCACCTCTGAGGGCCTTGCAGATAAACACTTTAATATCTTTCCTCCAGACACTAAAGGTTATTTCCATTTTCTTACATATGTGATGCAAGGTACACAGCATTTGTATTGTCTTCTTGGGAGGCAGCCTCTCACCACCTCCTGTGCCTGTTCTCAGCCTGCTGTCAATTGTGGGCTTATTTAAGAGAACCAAATGGCCAGAGTGAATGTCACCTCCCTCTCCACTTGCTGAACTCTGCTTAAACACAACACTGTTTTTCTGCCTCAAAAATATACATAAAGGTATGTATAGTATGTTAGCCCCTCCTTAGCCTTTCCCACCCTGAAACTTTTCAAACAGGGATGGCATGTTCCTCTCTTCACTGCCAAAAAAAAAAAAAAAAAAAAATTCCTTTCTCAGCATTTCCCCCTTCCCCCATTTCTTCTCAGCTGACAGCTGTGAGAGTGGAACCTTCTAGAGCTATCCTATCCATTTCCCCCAATTCTGTTTTTAAGATAGATTTGGTTTAAATATCCAAGCCATCTTTCACACTACAGGATTTTTTTTAACATAAAGTGGCTTTGCAAATGCATAATGTGGGTAGAGACACGGCAACAGTTTACATATATTTATTTTTCTTTTTTAAACAACATTCCACCTTCTTCCCCCAGCAATTTAGAAAGTTGATAGAGAATGAAATTGAACAATACAGCCATTTAAGAAATTACAGGAAGGCCAACGTTTTGTAATAAAGCAACTTTTTTTCAAGACTATTTCCTTATAATTCAAACCATCTATTTGATTTTCATACTAATTCACTTCTAACCAAATAAAAATTTCATTAAGAAATATAGGAATAGTATTCCATATCTGGAGAGTAAAATGAAAACAATGGAATTTAAGACAGTTCTGGAACTTCACACTTCTCAACCACTGAAGGCCTGATAGCTGTAGGCAGTTTTCCTGTTGGTTGTTTTGTACTTTGATCGGACTTTGAGGTTATCTCTCACCTACTGTAACTCAGCTTTGTGGGAAGGTGCTTTTCTGCCCTCATTGCCATTAGCCTGTGCACAAAGGAATCAGACATGTACTTGTACTTCAGCTGACTTTACAAGGCGAGACCCAAAGTATAAACATGTGCAGTTGTCTCTGCAGAATCTAACATAATTTAATTATTAAAACATTCAGGTAGTCATTTTTCCTTGGATTAACACAGCTGCATGTCTGTGTGCTGGAAAATCTGGGTTTGACAGTGATAAAATAGGATCGATGGCTCCATGAGTTGTGAAATTCAGGAATTTGTGAAATCACATGATTTCTGGAAAATGTGTTCAGGGTGCTTTGAGTCTCCTTGTTGTCCTTTTATTGAATTTGATATGTTATTAGAGTGGACCCACTGGAATGTGGCACTAACTAGAGATCCAAATGATGGAGACCCTGTATGAATAGGTAGTGGTGAAAGTGATGTTAAATTTCCTGTGGCCTTAAGGGCACACAGACTTGAATCATCAGATAGCAAATGTCACTTGTTTTGTATTTAATCAGTCTCATCAATTATCAAAGAGATAATTTGACTTCAGACATTTGGGGGTTACCCGTTCAACATTAGTCTATGACAAAATGGCATTGAAAAAAAAAGGAAACCTACTTTTCAACCAATTATCATATTCCTTGCTACCACTCCAATAGCCTCTGTATTATGCTTAAAAATCACTGTTTTCTGAGAAGGGTGTGCTACAGACATGTCTCCATTGCCTGTAGTTTTAAATAGAGAATTTTTAGGAAAACTTAATTTTGGAAATCTTAGAGTTCTCCTTGTCTTCCCCACACTCTTGCATGCACACCTTCAGCTTCCCTCATCCCTGGAGCCCTGAAACCTCCACAGAAGGAAGTGCATGGGAGCTTTGTGATGTAGATTCACCCAGCACTATACAAGTGTTTTGTAACTCCTCAACAGAGGAGAACATATTGTTTTCCAGAGACATGATGGTTGGCACATGAACAACACCTAAAATGCCTGCTGCCAATTTGTTGTTTGTTACTTGGTTTATTAATTAAGTTACACAAAAGATTTGGAAAAAAGCCAACAGTTATTGTTTTATTTTTTGTCCCATATTTTGGACTGCCTGGCCAAAGCAGAACAATTGCTGGTGCAGAGATACAGAGGAGTCCCCAAAGGTTAGCTCTGTTCTGGGACTAAATTACACCAAAGCCTTGCTCCTTCACTGCTGCCGTGAACTTTAGTAGAGATATCCTGTTGGGCTATTAATTGACTTCTTAAGAACTTCTGTTTACATCCAAGAGCCATGTAGTTTTGAACCAGAAGAAAATTTCTTCAAAGCTCAAATATACGTCAAATCGAAATTTCAGCTCAGCTCATTTGATATTTTCCCCTATTTCTATGAACTTTACATTGCTTTTTCTTGATTTCTTTTTTCTTTCTGGTAGATGTTTTACCTTTAAGTGACATAAATAAAACACAGGATTTCATGTGGCTTCTTTGTAACTTAATTATATATGTATTTTTATACATTTATAGAATCACTTTCAACTGCATTTGCATGCTTCTATTTTTTTTCCAAAAGGAATCTGATAGCAAGATTCAGTTGGCATGCCAGATACAATTGGCATGCCAGATTTCTAACTGTAGTTACATGTTCTACAACAGACAGACAAATTTATGTACAAGTGATGGGTTTGCCACATATATCTGTTCCTACACAAATTTTTTTGACCATAGGAAGAAACTCTCTGTAGGAATTGCTGTAGTTATCAGATGAGGATTTAGCTTGGTTCAGTAGTATGTCTGAAGCTGGTCATGATCAGCCTGAGGAAAGCAGCCTTTGTGTTGTGAAGTGAGTGAAGTGTGAAATACTTTCCTCTAATTGTGTACATTCCTATTGCCCATATAAAGTTAAATTTTTCAAAGTCATTGGAGTTCAGACTTCAACAATAGTTTGTGGTGAATGGTTCCACCTGGTCCTGAAGAGCAGAGTTGAGTGTGGGTCAGCCTTGCACTCATTGCTCATTCTTCCTTAAAATACCCTCATATCTAATAATTCACTCAGTTAAAAATTACAAGAAACACTTGTGCCTGCAGTATGCTTAACCAAGGTCAGACATTGCTGTGCCACACTGGACGTGTTTTTGGCCCAATAACTCTCTGAATTTTTCTTCGGTGCAGTCCAAAAACAGCTTTGAGGCAGCAGTGCTCACTTCCATGTCACACAATGAGGACAGCAAGTCTGTCCCATAGTGGCATTATACACAGTAGGAAAATCATCATCTGTGCAATCCTTTCTAGTGCCACCCTTAACACCGCTGACACATTTTCTTGAAGCTTCACTGGGTATTTTAGTAATTTACTCAGAGACACAGCCCCCTGAAGGACCTCAGCTGCTCCAAGACATTGTGGCTAACACCCAGAGATGAGGCTGGGGGGACCATCCCACACTTTACAACACCTTAGAGGGAGGTTGTAGCCAGGTAGGAGCTGGGCTGTGCTCCTGGGCAGTGACAAAACAAGAGGACACAGTCTTAAGCTGCACCAAGGGAGGTTCAGGTTGGGCATCAGGAGGAATTTCTTCTCAGAAACGGTGCTCAGACATTGCAGGGGGCTGCCCAGGGAGGTGGAACTTCTGTTCCTGAAGTGTTTCAGGACAGACTGAGCATGTCCCTCAGTGCCGTGATCTGGTTGGCACGGCGGTGTTGGTCAGAGGTTGGGCTCGGTGACCTCCAGCTCTTTTCCAGCCCAGGCGAGCCAGTGGCTCTGTGAGAACAGCCCCGGTGCCTAGGGCAGCAGCGCACGGCACTGCGAGAGAGCGCCGGCCCTCGGCCCCAGCAGCGCCCGCCATCGCAGCGGGACCTTCGGGGCCTTTTGTACCGCTCCGTTACGCGGCACGTTACTTTCTGTTCACCGAACCCCGCACACTTATTCACTGATTCATTATTTACATTTATTTCGCTCCTTTTCACAGCGCGGAGCCAATTCCCCACAGGGCCCCTTCCCACACGCACCCGGGCCGGGCCCGGCCCTTTTCCCGCTTCCTCCCGCCGCCGCCGTGGCGCGCGCGCGGCCCCGCCCCGCGCACATCCGGGTCCCGGCGCTGGCCCCGCCGGCCCCGCCGCCGCTCCCGTCCCGCCGCCTCCCCCGGCAAAGTTTCGCTGCAGCAGCAGCAGCAGCGGCGGCCGCGGCCCAGCCGGTGCCTCACGGACACCCGCCCCGGGGAGGCCGCCTGCTCCGCGCCGGGTGGGTCGGGGCGGCGGGATGGTTGGGGCGGGGAGGTTGCGGGCCGCGGGGTCGCGGCGCTGCGAGTCGGGTTCCGGGCGGCCGTGGGGGAGCGGGGGGAGACGGGGCCGAGGCCTCGGGCGGGCTCGCGGTGACACCGGGGGTTACAGCGGGGCGGGAGGGCACGGGGAGCGGCCTGCGGGGGAAGGAGCAGCCCCGGGGGGGAGAGGAGAGCGCGGGGCCGCCCGCGGGGCTGCTCGGACACGCGTGGTGCCGGTACGGGAGCGGGCACCGCCGGGCTCGGCACAGGCTCGAGAGGGTTGTGTCTTATTTTTATTGTTTGGGTTTTTACGGGTTTTTTGAGGAGAATTCGAGGACTCTCTTAACTGGAGTCAGGCCTGAGCGAGCGAGGGGAGAGCAACAAACACGTTTGCAGGCGGTGGTGAAGAGGCGGGAGGCGATGTGCGGGCACACACACACACACAGCGATCACAAACTCACACACACAGCGATCACAAACTCACGCTTGTCCACCTTGGCCTTCCTCTCGTGTAGCCCTGACAGCTGCCTGACAACAGATGCACGGCTTCGGTGATTTAGAATGGCAATTTTTGTCTTCTGCGGGTTGTAAATTTAATAGAGGAAATATGCTCTTGCGGTTAAAAGCACAAGACTGGAAATCAAATGATCTGTGCTTTGTTCCAGTTGTGGGGTTTCTAATGTGACCTTAAGGTGATTGAGTGATATTTCGCAGGAAAGTGAGATAGGGAAGAACTGATTCAGCAGTAGTGTTGAATGTATTATTGAATAAGTTCAATAATAGTTGTTGAGTCTGTTGGTAGAGTAGGTAGGGATTTAGAAATTCCATGCAGTGAATCACTTGGGCTCACTGCTGTAACAAAACCTCCAAGGAATAACTGTCAGAATTTGCATCAGCAAAGTTTTGTCTGTCACGGGAAATTAGATTGTCAGTGTATGATGGGTTTAGATGAAATCTCATGCTGTTTTCATTCCTTCGTTAATTTCAGATAATTAGCCTTCCATGGGTGGCTTTAAAAAGAATGGAAACTGAAATGAGCGTAGTTCATTGCGTGTGTCAGTTACAGAAGTTCTGCTCAAAATATCTTCCTGGTATTCTGAGGAATCACAGTTTGACTGGAGTAAAGAAAAAGGTGCAAACACTTGCAGGCATGTGCCTGTGCTCATCAAAACCTGTAATGCTTTATGAAGTTGGCAGCTAGTGGTAGTGGAAGTTAATAGAAGCAGCAAATAACTTAATTGAAGATGTTTCATAATTAGTGTGTTGTAACTTTTGAGAGTGCCCTGTCTGTGTTGGATTTAATGTCTTAATCCCTACCGTTTGATAGTGGTTTACTCTTACCTCTGATATTATAATTTTGTTCACTTGGCCTTGAAATTGCTGCTAAGTGACTAATGCCACTTATTTCTGCAAAATAAAACCCCAATAAACCATGTGCTTATTGGGATACCTACCTTTTTCAAACCTTTGTTTTCCTTTCAAATGTGGAGGTCATACATTTGAGATAGGAATTTTCTCTTTTTCTGGAGAGGACTTTCCAGGTGGAAGCCCAGATGGACAATCATGATGGGGCTGACAAATGGAAAAGAAGGAAGAGAGGTTTCCTCATTTCTTTCTATTGGTGACAAAAGATCACAACAGGGTGTGCTGCTGTGTACAGTTGTGGTGGGTGGTTTTTTTGGGTTTTTTTTGAGGTTTGTAGTTTTAACCTCTAATGGAACTTGAAGGAACAACTGTAATTGTTACCCTGTACTATTTTGTACTTGTTGGAAGTCAGATTTTTAATCTTGCACCTGGAATCAGTGATCTGTGCAGAGTTTTTATGATCACAGAATATTATTTGAGCTGGGAAAAAATGTCTCCCAAGATGGAATGCTCATGTTCAATTAAGGAACTTTTTAGGCTTATTTGAAAGTTCTTTACAAATTATATTGTGATCTTTAATGCTTTGGAGGACATATTTAATTGCAGAAAACTGTCCTCTATTTTCTTTATAGGTGTCTAAGGAAAGTGCTAGGGACTCTTTTATTGCTCTTGGCTGAATTACATACCTGCAGAAATACTCCTGTGGCAATTCTGTGCAATCCTGTGTCTTCCCTTCCTTCCAGTTAAGGCCTTGCTGGTTATACTCATGTTTGTTTGGGTTTTTTTAATTAAAATACAAGTTTCTTCGAATGTCTCTGTTAAATTTGGTGGAATGGATTTTATTTTAATCTGTTAATGTTTCTTTAAAGATCTTCACTGATTTTTTTTTAATAACAGGTAAGCAGCTCGTGTTCAAAATGAGAAGATTTATTCTTGTGTAAGCTGGGTGCACTTGAGATATCTTCACGGCTAACGATAAGCAGCTCATTAAAAGCAAGCTGAGCAGTAATTTAACACTTCTGCCGTTATCATTAGTCACAGTGCAAGTTCCTGCCCTGTTTTCTGGAAGGCTTTTTAGCCGTGTTCCTGTGACCACGTAGAGGAGTTTGGCTGGCACTGGGGCGCGCTTGACCAGCGTGGGTTGGCGCGGTGCAGGGCGCTGCCTGCCAAGTCCCTATCCCCACTGACCTACCACCAAGCTTGTGCTGCCAGCACTGTCATCCTTGACAGAGGATCTTTGTCAGAGTCCCTGCTACTGATACACCAGCTATGAAGTAGTGTCTCTGAATTCTGGGTCAGTGCATGTCACAAACTGACAAATTTAGAATACTTTGCCATTCATTCATTCTGAGCGAGGGGAAAAAAACAAACTTGCTGAATTACTATTGTCAGTGTTCCCTCCAATCCTGTAGCTTTTGTAAACTTGTCACAGGCTTAATGCAATTCAGTTGGAATGAAGTGTATACACACACACACACATATACATCTTTATTTTTTGTCTTCTTTTAAAGCTTTTTGGCTGGCCCATTTTCCAGGTTATACTTTGTGTTGCCAACTCATAGTATTTAGAATCCTGGTCTCTAATGAAGGTCTTGCACATGAGCATTTACATTTTTAGAAGGCTTTGTCCAGCTTGTTAATTTTTTAGCATACTTTAGGGTTTGTGAAAAGCACAAGATGCCCTTTATTTTCCCATTTTTGTTTCCAAGTGTAGTACTGAGGTCATTCCTAATCACCCACTTGCTTGTCCATGTCCAACCTACCAATGGAGGCATAGGCCTTTGTTTTCATGTAGTGAAATGTAGCAGTGCTTTTCTCTGGAATTTTAATTAAGAAATTGATTGTAAGTTGTAGTTATCTGCTTTGGTTAGAGTAGATCTTAAATAACCTTAAAAACAGGAGGCAGTTTCAGGGCTGTCTGCTGTTGATGGTGGCATTTTCCAGCATAATGCTTCTGCTGGAAAATGCCACTTAGCTGAAACAGAAAAGTGAGAAGATGTACAGTTGTGATAAAACACTTAAGGAAGACAGGTTTTGGTTCTAAGATGGAAATTATAGTTTTCAGTATTTCTACATAAGCTAATTGCTCAGTAATTAGAGCAGCTGCAGAGACCAGGGCCATGGGAGCATTGGATTTTTTTTGTTGTAAATGTGGATGCTTAGAGAAATAGACCATTTTAGGCATAGCAAGTTTTGGTGTTTTCTCTCTCCCTCTCCCTTCCCCTGTATCAGAGTTAAACTCAAGTTTTGCTATAATGCAGAACAATCAAAACTGTTCTTTGATTATAATTTTTCTGAGCTTTTACTGGCATCAGATGGAAGTGAGGATGCTTTGGAAATGCAGTGGAGCTCTCTTGGCCTGGACCTCTTTTGAGGTATAAATCATTATCACTGGTACTATTTTTTGACAATAGTTTTTGAGGAAACTTTAAGAAGAAGCAGAAGCATCACTTTGCTATCTGAGTTAAATCTTCCTTGTACATTGTATTACTTGCTGCTTGTGCTTGGCCTCAGAGTTTGTTAGGTTTTTTATAAGAGAGTGCTGGTTAAATACTTCTCAGCTGACAGAGCTAAATGCTTCAGCTTTTTTTTTAAGCTATGTTAGATGGTGTACAGATGTGGAAATTAAAAGCAAAAGTATTGTGTGAGACAGCCCTGTCAGCAATTGTCAGTAGATTTTTCTGTTTGCAGGGCAGTCACAGTTAGTAAAAGTTTTGAAGATACCAGATAGTTCTTTTCTCTTCTTGTTTACATATATTATCAGTTAGATTATATTGCCTTACAAGGCATGCTTGAAGCAAGAAATCAAGTGCTAGGGTAGAAGCCCTTATCGTAGAATTTGGTCAGCTGGATGCCAGTTCTCATGAAAATACCACAAGTTCCTTTTTGATATAATTTATAAAAGCTCTTTCATCTTTTACTTAAACTTATGGGGACAAGAGGCAAAAGAAGTTTTTTCATTGGTGGTATTCCTTGTGGCTGAGATGTTGCACAGGGTAATTGAGGAGAAATCTTTTCTGTGGAGAGGCTTTGGCAATGGTTTGAAAGACACAAGCCCTTCAAGTTCATTGAACAAGTTTTTAACCACAGTGTCATCTTAGGATTTGTTCTGTGCTTGATGTGTAGAGAAACTGTGGAGTTAACATTTCTCCTGTGTTTGTTTTCGAGAAAAGACTCTAATATGTGCCATTGCATGGGACTGTGTGCTGGGCTACAATGTAAGCTTGGGAAAATGATAGTAAAACTCAAGCACAATCCTGCACAGTTCCTGTCAGGAAATTTATAAGGAAAGAAGGATTTTAATAAAACCAAGTGAGATGATGTGTGAGGTTGTAGTTTTAAAGAAAGTATTGATCTGTGTATATAGCATAACACACTATAATATACCACTGCAGTTGAGTTTCTGAGCCTTCTGTATGAATATGTATGTTAATGTGTGTATGGAGTCAAAATACTTGAGCATTTCTGAGTTTGAAGGGCAATAAAGTTGAGCACAAGGGCTGACTGCAGAACAGCTTTAACTGCAGATCTGCAGCAGCTCTAATGAACTCCCAGTTGTGCTGCTGCTTATAAGTGGTGCTTTGTTTATTGTATGAAGTTGAGCCTCAAAACAGCTTCTAATCATCAGCAGTGAAGTTCCTTGTTTCACATTGGGTATGATGCTGCAGGAGGCTTCCTGAATTTGCAAACAAGTAAATGAGTGGGAAGAGAAGAGTCCTTGTACATTTGAGCACAGCCTTAGTACCGGCTGTAGGAAGGGATGAGGGTCGTTGATTTTACCCATTTTAAAATGGTTTTACCCATTTTATTCTTGTGCATGTGAAAGCATCATTCACTGCCCTGCTGTTTGGGATGATGGTTTGCTTGGTTAATGGTACTTCAAACCTAGATTTTGCAGCTGGGAAATTAGTTTGGAATCAATTGGAGAATACATTACATACAAAATGCATCTCATGAAAATAGGTTCACCATATTTAATGTTATTTTCTGTTCTGCAGTGACTCTTGCTCAGGTCCTTTTAGCCAGAAGGAGATTCCTTGGTATGGCATCAAATGGACCTACTGAACTTGCCAGTTTGATGGAGTAGGCTAAGGAAATTTCACAAGAATTGATGAAGTGAAGTCAAGTTGCTCAGTATTTGTGAAGGTGATAGAGTTCTCCCATCTGCAGAAATGAAATATAGGTTCTGTTGTTGGCGAATTTGTTTATATCTGGCTGGATGAAGTATTAAGGAGGGGGTTCAAACAATGGACCTGTTCACCCAACTAGTTTCCTTCCATTTGCTGTAGTCATTACAAGAACTTTTAAATATAAATAATGCATGCCCCAAAGTCTAATTTTGATGCAACGATTACTTCCTTTTATACTTGCCCTTTAAAAGCCCCCTCATGCTGCTCCATGTAATTCATTACACTCCTCCTAAAAGAGTGTTTGTAGCTTTTTTAATGTAACAGTGTGGTTTTCAGTTGATATTCTCTTGTAATTCAGCTGAAAAGTTATTTAATAAAAGAAGGTAATGCATAATAGGCCCTCTGCCTCTTAAGGAAATTTAAGCAAGCTTTTTTCCCCATGAAAGTTGTTACCAGCTGTGTCTAGAGGTGCAGCAGTAAGAGTAATTTATGCACCACTGAATGAAAATGTGACTTTTTAAAGCATTTGTTTCTGTATTCAAAGCTCAGTGATGCTCTGTGGTACTGCAATCACAGCTCATAACTTGGGCTTTTAAGCCTCAGAAGAAATTGATTGTAAGTACAGATGATCAGGGGAAGCTGTTCCTGGCAGATGTCAGGATTACTTAGGAACCTTTCATGAGTTAGATGCTGAAATTACAGCAAATGCAAGTAAATGTTCTAAATGTGGTTTATGCCACACATTCAGAAATCTAAAAACCCTGCATGAATTGCAATTTCTACATGGAAATGTTTGGTTTCTGCTTAAATACCTGAACCTACAGCTTTGTGGCCCTAAATAGCTCATGAAGCCAGCTCATGATTCATGAACCTTTTTAACTCTGCCTTGTTTTCTTAAGAAAGGCAAAAGCTGTAAACCTTCAGTGTTTTGCCATCCAAAATGAGCTTTGGGCAGGTGTGCAATGGGATAAATTCAGTGACGTTTTTTACTTCTCAAGGCCTATTAGTATTTTGTTGCATTTCCTTTCTTGCCCTTGATTTTCTTGAACAGGTTCAAATACACTTCTATTGGAGAGTGTTTAAAGCCTCATAAGTGGCCAGAATGGAGTTACAGTGAATGATATTAAGGACTTCAACAGTCTCATTTTTCAGTGGTTAGAGTTACAAGCATGGATGTGGAAACTTGTTTTGAAGAAGTTGAAGCAGTTTTGATCAAATCTGTTGTGATGCTTCTGAAATACTTGTTGTACCAGGCTTTGCTTTTGTTATGGGCCTCAAATGTAAAGTTTTTAGAGTTAATTATGTTACTTACTGTGAGCAGATTATTTCTAAAATGATAGTTTTTAGGACAGTCATTTATCATAATTCCCTTGCCGCTTGCTCTTCAAATACTAATTACTGCAAAGTATCGTCTTAGTGAAGCTGTTCCAACTTCCTTTCCTTTTAGTGAAGTTGTTTATTCCATGAGTGTACTTGTGGGTAAATGATGTTAGAATTGTATAAAACAAATAAAGTATCTTTCATAGTCCATCCATTATGTTCAAAATAATAAAAAACAAAATGAAATTTTACATGATCATAGCATAGAATTGTAGATCTTTAAATTTGGTTTCTTAATACAGATGTGGCTCCTGTAATGGGATAGATCAGGGGATGTTTGTTAAGATCTCCTTTGAGCTCAACTTAACTAGAGGAGTTTTCAGTGCATCTTCTGCCTTGATGATGTGTAAGATTCTTTGAAAGCATAGCTGAAAGCAAAAATAGAACATTTTAATTGTCTCTGGTCTGAGATTCTAGGTGGGTTCATTTCCTTTTCTAGGGGTGTGAGCAGTTGCTGATCTTGCAGCTATTGAATGTATGCAAGGCTTGAAAGTAAGTTAGTTGCAACCATAAACAGCTTTTACTTTTTGAAACAGTAAACTTTTATCCTCAGTAAAAGAAAAAATTCAGTCTGAGTTCCTGGCCAAGTTTATTTCCCTTTATGTATTTCCTGTTACTTTGAAGGGTGCAAAGATTCTCATGTGGAACAGTCCAAGGGATCTAAATTAGTCTGAAAGTGCAGACATGGTGATATTTCTGAAGAAAACAGGTGATACGTAATTATTTGAGTTTTTTCCTTTAGTTTTTTCTCAGTACCTTCTTCTAGGGAGTTACTGAAGCAGTGGGAGACTTCTATTCTCTCTTCTTTTTTTTCCATTTTGTTTTTTTATGAGAGCTGTAGGAAGAAAGACCTCCAAACAGTTTTACTGTTTGTTTTGCTTTTCCGATTTTTTTCCATATTACTGAAACAAAGTTGAGTAATCAAAGAAGTACCAATGGGATTAAGCTATTACATGAAATAAATGGATTTTTTTCCTGTAAAGAAACACCAGGTGTCCTTGGGTTGTTCCCTGCTTTCCTCACCCTCTAACTCCATAATAGAAAATATGGGATGGTTACACTTGGGACATGAATGGCTTGCCTAGGGATGTTTGCTGTAGCTTTGGCTGCTGGTGCTTAGCACATGGTTTTGTTACATAGAAGGATCTGTCCAAGTGCCTGAGTGAGCCTGTAAATGTGCCGACACTTAAAAAGCCTTATCAGATGACTTTTAGTTTATCAAAGATGGGAGGAAAAAAGATCTTCGTGATTAAAGGTAGCAGTCTAAGAGAACCAGCACAGAGATATTTAACATTTTGCTCCCCCCACCCTCTTTTTCTCTTATGTGCAGATTTGGTGGCTTGGGCTGGGGTAGGTGTTCTAATTCACCGTGGTTTATCAAAAGTGGAGAGACAATGTTGTTTGGCAGTCTCTGTAGCAAGAGAGGAAGCATCTTTTGTTATTGACATCCTTTCTCTTAGCTCTGCTCTTGCTTTTTGCCAGCTGCTCATTGTCTATACTTGCTTATTTAGTATTCACAAGGGATTTTACAAGTTCTTATCAGTTCGTTGCCACAGCACATCATTTCCTCTTGTCATCGGTACTCCTTCAATTGCTGGGGGGAGGATTTGCATTAGGGCTGGTGAGTGGTAAAACACCATTCATGAGCCAGTTGTTCTGCTCTTCTCCTGTCCGAGGCACTTTGTAGTAAAGGTCACATTTCTAATGCTTACTCCACCATGTCTTTTCCCCCCTTCTTTTTTCTGGGGAGAAGAAAACATTTTTTTTTTGCCAAGGCTAAAAATATCCAGCTCTTCAAATACTCTTCTTAAAAGATATAAGGAAGTGCAGCATAAAATTAGCTACAGCTAAAAAAAGGTTGACCACCTCTCTGGGTGGCTGGAGAAGGTTTGGTTTGTGCTTTTTATTGGGTTTTCTTTTAATTGTGCTTTGTTTTCTTTGTCTGCAGTTTCTTTCTAATTTCTTTTCATATTCTCAGAAACATGGGATAACTAATTAGAGCTCAAGAAAAAGCAGATGCTTTAGGGTTTTTTTTCCTTTTTGGAAATAAAGATCCGTTTGAGAAGCTGAGTATTTCCATGCAGTATTGGCCTTGGAACTGGTGGTTCCAGCCTGCCTCTTCCCTGTTCATAGCAAATTTAGTCTTTTAACACAGCACCATGACAGGGATATATTGCTATTTTTAAAGCATATTCTTCAAGCTTATCTTCTGAGAGAAAATTATCAATTTAAGGAGTGTTAATGGGAACTGTGCTGTCCCCACTGACCATCATCCCTTGATGGTCCCTTTTCTCACTAATCAGCAGTGCAAGCTTTGGGAGCTGATCACTTTTTTCAAGTGTACATAGTACTGCTGGGATTTTGTTTTGAATCAAAGGTGCAATGCTAGGGTTGAAACAGGAACTCTTCTCATATATGCCTTTTGTTTTATTTATCACAGCCTTTACTTGTTTACTAATTCCTTGTTCAATTATCTTTTTACTAGAACTAAATTGGAGGAATCCATCATCGTTTTTGATGTGAAGGCTTCATCACTGACATCTCTATGTTCATTTGTCATCCTCCAGGAAATAACACGGCTCATCAGCTGCAATAAGTACTTTGGGTGTACACTGACATTTATTTGGAAAAAACCAAATTAATTAACAAAAAACCCAACAGACAAAACCCGACAAACTTTTTGAAGACTTGTGTCAAATGACGTCAATGGCCAGTTTGTTCTCCTTTACTAGCCCAGCTGTAAAGCGTCTGTTGGGCTGGAAACAAGGAGATGAAGAGGAAAAATGGGCAGAAAAAGCTGTTGATGCTTTGGTAAAAAAGCTGAAAAAGAAAAAAGGTGCTATGGAAGAACTGGAGAAAGCCTTGAGCAGCCCAGGGCAGCCCAGCAAGTGTGTTACTATCCCCCGCTCCTTGGATGGACGGCTGCAGGTGTCTCACAGGAAGGGCCTTCCCCACGTCATCTACTGCCGTGTGTGGCGCTGGCCGGATCTGCAGAGCCACCACGAGCTGAAGCCCTTGGATATTTGTGAATTTCCTTTTGGATCCAAGCAAAAGGAAGTCTGCATCAATCCATACCACTACAAGAGGGTGGAGAGCCCAGGTATGTTTGAAAGTTACTGTCCGAAAAACTGAACAGAATCTTTAGTAACCACTTAACTATTCACTCCATCCTCCTCCTCCTCTGGTGCTGTACAACCAATTGAAAGTGGTGTATGAGGCAGTTTGGGAGAGGAATGTTCAAAGTGCACATTACTGGTGGGGTTTTGGGGAGGTGTGTGGTCCATTCTGTACTAATGGTCCAAACTGTTTTCTTTGGGATTGATCACCTTTTACTCACAGACTTCTTAAAGTTAGTAGCAAACTTCTCCTTTGTTGTGAAATAGAAAGCAGTGATGTGTTCTTTCAGATTCACTTTCATTGAGAAACTTGTTTCAAAATCTCAGTCCTTGCAACTGGAGAAACTTGTTTCAAAATCTCAGTCCTTAAAAGGTGGCTGCCTTTCGGGAGCTTGCTATTTAATCAATGTGTGACATGAACTGAGGAGATGAAAAATAAAATTAATAAAATTTTAGGGTGGTAGAGTTCCCCACCTGACTTCCAGTTAGGAGACAGCAGAGATGAATAGAAGCAGGAGATGTGATCAGTTAGAGGAAGGTGTGTGTCAGATGTGTGTCAGGTAAGGAGCCTGCTCTTAAAATGTGCTGTGGGAAAGGTGAGGAGGATTGGGATTGCAGTGGGAGAGATGAAGAATGTTGCTCTGGACAGTGTGGTGAGGAGTTGCTTCCCTTGCTCCCCAGAGTGGTTGTAACTCTACTGCATTGACTGTAGTGCTCAAGTGCACTGCTGTAACACTGGAATTCCAGACTCCAGCAGTGCTGAAGTTAAAAGATATGGCAGTGCAGATTTTGTTTCTCATCAGTGGAAAGGACAATATGTAACTCTATAGTTTGTAGTAATAGAGACTGTATTCTCATTTTCTCTGATTTGCTAACGTGTGCAGATGTAAGTTTTGCACTTCTGCATCAGTGTTTCAGTATGTGCCACATGTAGCCTGGTTCGGTTTATTATTTTTTTTAAAAAGGTCATCTTTGAGTTGTGTGAAATGTGTGTGTTTTTTTGTGATTCTTGCAAGAGTAAAGTTTGAATCTTTCATTAAGAATGATGTAAAAAATAAAGGAGAGAGGATGGGGCAAAGGCATGCCAGATTCATCCCCTTCTCCTCTTTCCACCCCAGCTAGAGTTGAAATTATCACGATGAGCAGAATATTTGTATCTCTTACCTTATATCTCAGGTTTTAACCTAAATGCATTTGGGATTTGTTTGTTTTTTGCAGTTCTACCTCCAGTGTTAGTGCCTAGACATAGTGAATTCAACCCCCAGCACAGTCTGCTGGTTCAGTTCAGGAACCTGAGCCACAACGAGCCGCACATGCCTCACAACGCGACGTTTCCGGACTCCTTCCAGCAGCCCAACAGCACTCCATTCTCCATCTCACCAAACAGCCCCTACCCCCCTTCTCCAGCCAGCAGCACTTACCCGAGCTCCCCAGCCAGCTCTGGGCCATCCAGTCCCTTTCAGCTGCCAGGTGAGTGCAGCCTGAATGGCAGTTCAGTAAAAATCACTGAAATGTCACATGTTGTTGTGACCCGCGACCTCAGGAATTCGTGGTGTTTGCCATAAATGGCTTTTTCTTTTGTATTTTATGGGATTTATTTCCTAGTTTTGTCATTGGTCAGAGTTAATTGTTACAGTCTTGTTTTTCCAACTGCTTTTTGTCATGGATGTAATACTGGTGAGGTTTTTTTTGCACAGCTTCACTACAGATTAACTAATCCATATTTTAGAAGAAGAATTAGCAATGAAAAGAAAGCAAATACAGGATGCTGAACAGGAAGTTTACTGATGTCTTTCACTGAATAAAAACATGTAAAACATGGTGTTTAACTGGAAAAAAGTACCATTTTTGTTGGGAACAAGTTGGATTAAACTGAATCTGTTTAACTGAGTTGAAAAATACAGAAAAAACAATTGATAGGGACCAAGGAAAGAAATCTTACTGATTCTGTCTGATTATTGGTGTGGTTTATACAGCCAGGAATTTAGTAAAGACTTTATTTTTCCACTAGCTCAGTGGCCTAATCATTGTAGTCTGGTTGTTCAGTTCCCCAGAAGTGTCCCAGCCAGAGAATACCTGTGTTGGCCAAGTACTGGCATCACTGGGGTGGATGCATTTATGGGGCACAGTGGGGTGTTGCCACACTGAGTGCTGTGCTGATGGAAGAAAACAGATCCACACCTCTGTAATGAACTCAGCCTGCAGGAGCAGCAAATCCCCCAAATTCTTCTAGGCCTTTGTTACACTAAGCAAATTGTTATTTCTTCTACTGCTTTGTTTTCGAACACTGAGAAGAGAGTAGGCAAGAAAGTTCATGTTTGTGTGACAAAAAAGGGGAAGCAGAGTCATCAAACCCAAGTGCAGTAGTGCAGGTATTAAAAAAAGAAAGAAAAAAGAGCATCTCTTATTTTTTTCAAGTTTCCAATCTTGTTATTGGTTCCATAGGTAAAATTTCAGCTATTGAAGGAGTTTACTGTAAAGACAGATGGCTGTGTTCAGATTTCTTTGAAAATGAGGCCAAATTTTTTAACATTTTGTTTGGGAATATTTTTGTATGTTTACAACTGTAGAATGTATAAATAAATACTCTAAATTGTTGAAGTTTATTCTTATTTTTTTCATGTTTGTAGCTGATACTCCACCTCCTGCATATATGCCCCCTGATGAACAAATGGGGCAGGATAATTCACAGTCTATGGACACAAGCAATACAATGATCCCTCAGATCATGCCAAATATATCTACCAGAGGTAAGTTGTATAGTCTGGTGTAAAATTACTTAGTTTAGTGTCTTGCAACTCATGACCAAACTGAATGAATAACTTCAGATGGGCCAGTAAATCTTGCTGGTAGGTGGAAGCAGCCTCCTAGGCAAACTGGGGCTGTAGGAGACATAATTGAGAAATAAACTTAAATTGCTTCTTTTTATTTTCATCTTTTCCTTTCAAAGTTTCAGGTGCATAATATTGCTTACAGTGAGTTGAATTTTTGTTCATTTCTTTTCTGCTACGTTTGCCTGTTGCTAGAATAACATTTGCACAAAGGCTTTGAAAATTGAGTCCCAAAATACCAGTTATGACAGATTTTTAAAAAGTGAACAGAAGAGTTATGTTTTACCTGCTATCACATAGTCTGTTCTGTGTGTGTACATGTAAGGTTGTTTTTGTTTAATATCAGGCTTAAAATTGGAAAAAACAGTAAAATCAGCAGGCCAGCTAAAATGCACAAAGGTCAAAATCTTTAAGGTTATAATCAGGACACTTCTTGCCCATCATAATTGTTTACTCAGATTTTACTTAGCTTGGTGTTTTGGAAGGTCTGCTTGACAGTTGTAGCTTTAGTGTTTTAACTCTTCCCTAAACTGTTCCTTCCATTTGTTTTTCAGATGTTCAGCCCGTTGCCTATGAAGAACCCAAACACTGGTGTTCCATTGTGTATTATGAGTTAAATAACCGTGTTGGGGAGGCTTTCCATGCATCTTCCACAAGTGTCTTAGTAGATGGCTTTACAGATCCCTCCAATAACAAGAACAGGTTCTGCTTAGGTTTGCTCTCCAACGTTAATCGCAACTCAACGATCGAGAACACTCGGCGGCACATTGGCAAAGGTAAAGCTGGGTTTGTCTTATGGCAGAGGTAAAGCTGGGTTTGTCTTATGAACCAAGTCCTTGGTTTTATTTCTCTACACTGCAGCAGTGGTAGTTCTCAGATGAGAATGCTAGAGGTAATCTGAGATGTGATACATTATCTGCCTCTCCAGTATCAGAAAACAACTTAGGCATGGTTTGATTCTAATTAGTCAGGAATTGCATGCATTTTTCTTTGTCATTAATTAAAAAGACTTAATATTACCCCTACCTTAACAAAATAGATTGCCATTGGGGCTTGCTTGTTAGGGTAAATGTAGTAGTCTGTGTTTCAGCACCAAGAAACATAACAGGATATGCCCTGATACTCCACATTATATCTAATTCTTAAATTCTGCATACACCTTTGCAGTATGTCAGAGATTTTTTTGTTTGTTGTTGTAAGGTATTACCTTCTGTCTACAGTATGTTCAAATATCTTGGTGAGTTGGCAGCAGGACTTTGAAGTGCTAATGCAAAACTGCAAGGGCTCATTTGTCTGAGTGAATCCATGGGGCGTGGATGTGTGTGGGAGGGATTCCTGGAGACAGCAGGTTTTGCAAGATCTTCTAGTTTTCCTCTGCTGTTTTGGCTGATAGTACATAGAGATGCACTGTTTTCATCTTTGATGGAATGTGCCTGGATTATCTTAAATTGTAGAACACTTTTTCTGAACATAATTTTTTATTTTTGTGATTAACTCAGTCCTTAGAAGAGAGCCCTGTTTCTCTTGCACATGTTTAGAAGCCTTTCTACCACCTAAGAGCATTTGGTAAAGTTGGTCTTGAGTTTTGATTGATGAAAGTTCACCCTTTCCCATAACAATCTTTTAATTAGAAATAACTATAAATATGACAAAATTTTGCAGATAATTTGGAGACCAGAAGTTCTGTTTGTGTCTGTTGGAAATTTGGCACTGTGATGCAGTTGTCCAAAAAATTTATAAATAAAATAATATTATAAGGGAGAGCAAGTGATTTGTGGGGCGTGGGTGGTTTGTGAGGCTCTTTTGTTTTGGCTCACCCCTTTTAGTGGTATTGGCAGAGAAATCTTGTGCATCTGCCTAAGGTCAGAAGTGTAACCAGGACCCATCATCATATTGTAGAATAGTAATGAGCTTTAAAATGGCTGCATCTCTAATAGCAATTATTGAACTTAAGCTTTCCTTTATGGTGACTCTTCTGACAACAATTAAGGTTATTTAGAGATAAAATACTGTTTATTTAAGGCTTTTGCTTGAAAGGTCTTGAGGTTCTGCCTCCTTAGAGCCACCCAATCCTGTGTGCTAAGGTTTTTTACTGTAGCTGGCAAGTGGTGTTGACTGTCTTTTTAAATAAATAGGGTTGTGTTGTGGAAATGCAGTCTTGCCCACCCCAGATTCTGTGACAGCTGCTTGCAGTTGTTGAAGCCAACAGTTCCTCTGCAGCCTCCATCCTACCTTAGTCCCCAGTGGCTCTAGCACTGCTCACAACAGTGGCTGCTGTCTGAAAGATTAGCTTGCATCTGTTGACTTGCTGCAGCCTGGCGCATCACGGGATGGTCCTTAGTGCATTCTCAGAGTATTGCAGGGATGACTTAAACAGAGCTGTATGCCAAGCATGGAAAACTGGGATAGGGAAGGGAAGGCAGGGGTCTCAGTGAAGCAGCAGGGAGCACCTGAGTTTGGGTGCTGAAGGGATGGGCAGCTTTTGTATATTAATTTTTAGTCAATAATAATATTGTATAGACTTGAAAACATGTGCATAGCTGAACACAGGCAGATATGATAGATCTGGGGTCTTTGTTGATGTTAAGGTCTGTAAACCCTGATGGTAATTAAGTGAAGCAGCTAGTTGGACTTACCTGTCCTTCAGCTTGATAAAATGTACTGAAAATCAGAGCAGACTGTGGATATTCTTTGTCATTCATGTCCCATCACTGACCCTTCTCCCAGAACCTATTTCTGTTCTATTTGGCATAGGTAAAAGCTGCCAGATGTATAAAACTGGGGTTTTAATTCTAAATTAATATAAATAGAAAAATAGCTTGAAATAACAGTTGAAATGTGGCAGTAATTTTTTCATTCTATTCTGTAATTGATCAGAGAAGGACATCTAGTGGCTGGTGTATCATGAACCTGCTGTGTTGAAGTGAGACAGTGTGTTATAATGCAAGCAAAAGCTTTCCTGAAAACCTCCTCAGGCAGAAATTTATTCTTTTTTTCCCCCCAATAAAATAGAATTTAAGATAACCACCTCAAAATCAGAGACAACAAAGTAATTTGAAATGTTCTTATCTTTGTTTTCAAGGAGTTCATCTCTACTATGTTGGTGGAGAAGTCTATGCTGAGTGTTTAAGTGATAGCAGCATATTTGTACAGAGCAGGAACTGCAACTACCACCATGGCTTTCATCCAACAACTGTATGCAAGATTCCCAGTGGATGCAGCCTGAAGATTTTTAACAATCAGGAGTTTGCTCAGCTTTTAGCTCAGTCTGTCAATCATGGATTTGAAGCAGTCTATGAGCTCACCAAAATGTGCACCATTCGAATGAGTTTTGTAAAGGTAAATTATTCTGAGAGTATTTAAGTTTATTGTGGGTTTGGGTATTTAGCAATAATTCCATTAGCACTGTAGCAAAGCTGTTCTGGCCTGATGGGGTTCTTTTCCATTATAAGTATATTTAAAGTGATTAACTGAGGGAGAAGGAAATCAATGCAAGAAAGGAAAAGCACAGATTCTATATTGAATGTTGGCTGTGTATTCAGTTACTTTAGTATTCAGGACAGGAATTTATTCATTATGGTTGCTGTAATTTTGTTAAAGGAGATTTAAGTTCATGGTCTAAATTTAAAGGAGTAAAGTGAATAACAAGTCCACTAAAAGAATGGGAGTAGAAAGGAGCAAAATTATTGAAGAAAATTTTCAGCTTCTTCAAATTGATTGTTAGTTTAAAAAAATCCCTGGATATGGAAAAAAGACACGATTTGAGTTCCTGAATTCAAGGTGTGCTGTTACTGTCACAGGAGTGTTTCCTGAGCATTATTTAATCAAGATGTTGTCTGTCTCAGGTTTAGTGTGGAGTCCAAACTTGGGCTTTCCAGGTGTTTTTTTGCATCTTGTCCAAAGGATGTCTCATTGGTTTTGTCAGTTATGACAAATACTGCTCAGTTTGAGAGTGTGGAGGAGAGGGAGCAGGAGGTTGAAAGAGAAGAGAGATGTGGCCATGGCCAGGAGTCATCCTCAGGAGCTGCTCAGGAGGTGTAGCATGCAAGACTTGATTCAGGATTCCAGGTGCAGCTTCCCTCCTGCTCCTTCCCAGCCTCAGGTTTGTTCCTTTAGATCAGTGTGACTAGACTGGGAATTACCTTCAGATAAGTATCTTGAGATCATGATTTCCTGTTTCTTGTTGGTATTTTAAAAGACAAGCATGTCCTCAAATTGCTCAGTACCCTTTTGTTCATTTTCCAGGGCTGGGGAGCTGAATATCACCGGCAGGATGTCACGAGCACCCCGTGCTGGATAGAAATTCATCTTCATGGGCCCCTCCAGTGGCTGGATAAAGTACTTACACAAATGGGTTCGCCTCTTAATCCCATCTCATCTGTTTCATAGTGCTGCAATTCCACCTTCAGCCTTATTTTTAGTGAACTTATTCTAATTCTAGAGAAACTTCCAGTGGATACTGTGAGCTATATGGAGAATGGATCTTATGATTTAACTTTTTTTTTTTTTTTTTAGATCCCTTTGTGACCAATTCCATTGTGTATAGCTAATCAGTTTTACATTTCAAATTGTTCTTGTGATGCTTAAGTGACAGTTGAGCCCTAAGGGAAAAAATAGTCTATTGAAAAATTCAGAACACTTTTCCCCTTCTTCCCCTTAAAACTTAAACAGACAAATGTCTTAACTGGAAAACCTTTTTGTCCTGTAGGGACAAGAATTAATGAAGACTGACTTCAGAACATAAATACATATCATAATTTGGGATTTTTTAATGTGTTTTAATGAAACTGTTTGAACATGTGCAGCTCCAGCTTGCAAGCTGTATTTTTAGCTTAGTGTTTTAACATCTTAAGGTTGACATCTCTCATAAGCAAAATTAGACTTTATTATGGCTAATTTGCCTCAGATTGAACAATGTGATTTTTTTTTTAATGTACACATGAAATATACTTTTTACAAATATTGGAGTGGTGTACAAACACTTGTATTGTATTTTCTATTGGAAAATGCTGTCATAAACACATTGTATATTAATGCAGAATAGCAGTTCTTAGCCTTTTCCCACTTTGGTTTTGTAATATCTCTTTTAACCACCATTTAAAGTAGTAATTGATCCAAGGTAAACATCCTGCACGGTTCTGGAGTAGTGATTCTTGTTTTGCTTTGATTTACACTCATGCCGTTTGGATTTGGTTGCCAAGGCTATTTCTTTTTAGGTACCTTTCTCTATTTTAACATAAACACTACTATTTGTAAATGGCAGTGCTTACTACTTTTTGGAAGGAATAAGTTTTTTGTTTTCTTTTTGGTGTTCTAGCTGTTTATTTTACCTGTCTGGAATTGATCTGTGTTAGGCCTTTTTAGTCTCTCAGTAGACATTATGCAGTATTAGTGATTACACTGTATTTAATTCACTTTCAAGTATGAGTTTGGGTTTCTTTGAAGACTGTGAGTGGCTTAGCAAATGAGTAACTGAATGCAGAAGCTTTTACTTCCAGATCATGTAATTTAATTCAGACCTCTTGGTAATGACCAAAAGTAATCACTTCTTTGTAGCCTGCATAAAACTGTGCTCTTGATCCTGTCCCTGATGGCAGGGCTTCAATCAGAAGACTTGTAGCTGTGGTTGGCATCTTTATGGGATTGAAGGACTGTGTTAATATGACAATGGAATTTCTCTCTCACATCTAAAGAATCACAGAACGTTGAGGGTTGGAAGGGACCTTAAAGATCTCCCAGTCCCAACCCCCCTCTCCATGGGCAGGGACGCCTCCCACCAGACCAGGCTGCTCCAGCCTTTCTCCAACCTGGCTTTGAACACTGCCAGGGTTGGGGGCATTCACAGCCTCTCTGTGCAGCCTGTGCCAGTGCCTTACCAGCCTCACAGTAAAGAATTTCTTCTGTATGTCTAAGCTAAATTTGCCCTCTTTCAGTTTGGACCTGTTACTCCTTGTCCTGTCACTACAGTTGTAGACAAAGAGTCCCTCTCCAGCTGCCCTGTAGCCCCTTCAGATGCTGGAAGGTTCCCATGAGGTCTCCACTCAACCTTTCTTCTCCAGGCTGAACAGCCTCAACTTTTTCAGCCTCTCTCTTCAGGGGAAGGTGCTCTAGTCCTTTTACCAGAATTGTGACCTCAGGACTTGCTCCAGGAGTTCCACGTCCTTCTTACACTGGGGGCCCAGAGCTGTGCTCAGCACTGCAGGTGGGGTCTGACAAGGGCAGAGCAGAGGGGGCAGTGCCCTCCCTCCCCCTGCTGCCCACCTTCCTTGGCATGCAGCCCAGGATTCTGGTGGTTTTCTGGGCTGTGAGTGCTCAGTGCCAGCTCATGGTGAGCTTTACAGCAGCCATCACCCCCCAGTCATTCTCTGCAGGGCTGCTCTCTGTCCAACCTGTAGCTGTGTCTGGGATTGCTGGATCCAGGTGTAGGACCTTGCACTTGGCTTGGTTGAACTTAATGATGTTTGCATTTGGCAAAGTAGAGAATTTAAACACTGTATTGAATACTAAAATCAATTACATAGCATATGCATATTTCTGTCCTTTATATAATAAAAAAGAGGCTGAGAGAAACATGTTAAGATAATTAGAAGTGAATTATATACAAAATTTTGCATGCAGAAAGACCTTATTATATTTTTTAAACTCACCTTGCTTTTTCTCTTTCCTGAACACCTTTTCAGAAAAGGGTTCAGTGTTTGGGGGAGAGGCTGAAAACTATTATGCAAATACCTATTAAAAATGTGTTGCAGTTAATTACTGCAATCCTGAGAAAATTATTTTTTAAACAAATTCCTGTGTCTTCTGTTGAATGACAGTTTCTCCTCAAATGTGGAAATTGTGCATCATATGGTACCTAAGTAACAAATGATCTTAGAAGATAAAAATTGTTTACGTGTCATTAAAATGTTTTTTATGAATTGCCTTAAAGGAATAAACTGTAACACTTCTGCAGAACCCTAATGTTCTCTTGTACAGGAATTTCTGTATTACTGTTTTGGTTTTTTGTGTTTTGTTTTGTTTTTTTAAACAGTTTCTCAAGCATGTTTGAAAACAGATGAGTGCATCTTCAGGAGAAGGGGAGTAACATTTATCTGCCACTTAGCTTTGGTTTCTTCCCTTCCATTATTTGGAGCTGCAACCCACAGACAGTTCTTTTGATTGAATAAGATGCCAAGTCAGTTGGCCACAGGATCCTGCTTCTGTTTTCTTCTTGGGGCCTGACGTTTGTCAAGCTGCTGAATATGTATATTTAACACTACAGAATATTATATTTCTTGACTAGCTTATGTAATAAATGACATGGCACATTGAATTAAGGAAAGATTGCAGTTGTAGGTACAAGATTTTACTTTATCCAAAATGTTTTTCACCTGGCTTCTCTCTGTTCACTTGTATGCTTCTATGTGGCCAACTGAATGACTCAAGAATGGGTGCTGCAGTGGGTGCTGTGAGCCAGAGCTGGTGTTTAGTGCTAGTATTGTGGTTAGATTGGCTGCCCATGCACTGAACCATAATTTCTGCAATAATATCCAGTTAACCCACTTCTGATGCTGTCATTAAGTACTGAAGTGCTCTGGCATTTTTCTGCTTGTGTGCATATTCTGGAACTGCAAAGGCTCCAGTGCTGGGATATCCTTGTGACTGCTGGTTTTGGCAGGGCAGGCTTGCAGGGGCAAACCCAGTCAGATTTGTCTTTTTTCCTAGTAGGGCTTTTTGGGAGCTTTCTGGTTAGCAGATTTTTTGTGCTACTGGTTCACGGTGTTGCTAATCCTGTTTTGTTCGTCTGTGCTGCTGATACAATATTCAGATCTGGGTGCATGGATGGATTGGATAGAAAGTTGTTTGGTGCCAACAGTGTAAAGTGTCACCAGAGCAGGGAGTGCTGCTCCTGGTGTACAGCACCCTGCAGAAATCACCCCTTGGTCTGGAGAGAGGGATGGGGAGATGGACTCAGCCAGTGGTGTGGGAGTGGTGCATGGAGCATTTCCAGTGTAGCCCAGCTTAGACTGAGTGTTACTCCTCTGTAAAAACTCATTTGGCTCTTGTAGTGTATTTTCTTATTTCTGGGCCTCTTCCTGCTTTGCACCAGCCCCAGCACTGTTGACAGCTTTGGCAGTACCAGCAGAGAGCCTGGAGCAGGCTTATCCTGGAGGCTTTCCTGGCAGTGCTTTCACAGCCCCTGAGATAAGGCAGCAGCTTGGCTCTGGTTCCTTACACACCTGGGCCTTGCTGGCAGCCAGGCAGTGCCTTGTGTATCACACTCATAACTGCATTAGGCATGAAGGGCTGACACTGGGTTATAGAATCTACAGGACCAAAATAAAACCACCTAGCATGACTGACCAGTGAAAGACAAATCTGACAGAACAACCCAACAGGCAAAAGAATGATGGAACAGCCCAGGTGTTACAATTCAGGATGGAATTGTTTAAAATGTTGGAATTCTTTTAGTTTTGCTTGAGGCAATGATTTGGTTTTTTTTCCCCCACAGAATTAAAATGTGAAAGTTGTCAATTCTTGGGTGTAAGATTAACTTGGATTCTTGCAGTCTAACTCTAGAGGACATTGAAATGTGTCAGGCTTCCTCACTAGTCTGAAATAGTCACTTTTTCAGGATATTGTTTTACTTGCTCAAAGTGCTGGTGATGGTTTCTGGAAAGGCAAAGAAACAAACAAAAACCAAAAACAAAACCAAACCATTTTCTAAATGTTTTGCTTCAAATGACAAACATGTGACTAACTTTCTTCTGGAGTTGTGAAGTTTCTGTTGAGGAGGGTTTCCCATTCTGAATTCAAATCAATAGACCAAACCATCAGATTACAATATAATGTTGCTTTCTTGTGCTGCTCCATAAACCTGCTTCTGTGTTTGTTGCAAGCATAACCTTTATGCTTTTGTTTACATTGTAGAAAACACAGTTCTAGCAATGAGGTTTTTTCATTTAACTCTAAACATCTTTTTATTTTGTTAATTTTAAAATTACTAGGTTTTGCTATGTTATGTTTTTAAAGATATTTTTTGCATACTGCTGCTCATATTTCAATAAACAAAACAAAAACCCACAGATTCTTCTGATTTCCTTCCTCTGTAACTCTGTGTCTCAAGTGTTACAAGGGTTAATTTATCCTGTGCTGATGCCTCTCCATGTCCGTATTCCTCCTCACACAAAGGTAATCTTGTCATTTAAAAAAAATTTTCTGTAGCTTTTAGATAACGTGAAAGCTGCTGTGCTCTCAGAAACAGAGACCTAAATTATTTCATAACTTCATTTTAAAGAGTTCTTTTTTCTTGTAGAATGCAGCCAGCCAAAATGGTATCATTTTGATAGTACTTATGTAACTATTTTTTGTACTACCAACTGAAGTATTTCTGTGAGACCTCAGCAATCTGCTGACTTGGGGGTGGTTGGGGTTTTTTCCCCCACTGTGGCCAACCGTAACATTTTGAAACTCATTGTGCCTGAATGTGTTGAGCTTGAACTGCTGACCAAGAGCCTTTCAGTGAATTGAAGGCTGCTCAGATATCTCTTGTAACTCAGTACTGCTGCAGTAAAACGTACATTTAGAACTTTAGTGAGCTGTATATTAGCTTCTTTTTAAAGATTGAGGGGAAGAAAACCTTTCCCTTGTTTACCAAGATACTGCAGAAATAGAGAGTGAAAAGTGGTGTGCATATATTAAATCTTTTTTTGGCAGGATGAGTACAAAAACACTGAATCCCAATGCCACAATGACAAGTGATTTCTTTAGTATAAAGCTGAAATGAAAATGTTGATACAACTTTATCTTGTCTGGGCTTCCTGCTTTGGGATTTAATTTTACCAGCAGACTGTCACCTGCAGTAATGCTCTGAAATTCTGACATTTTCTCAGTAATAAGAGTTTTTTTCCTCTGAATGAGAATCCAGTCACTCAGGTAAAAATGTAATTTTTTAATTAAACTCTTGATACTGTACTATTTTCATGGGTTTGCTTCCAAGACAATGATTGCCATGAAAATCCCCAGAAGATTTACTGTGGTAGTATTACACAGATAGTACAGGCTAATTTTTGAGCAGGATCTCAGATGAAGTTTCAGTGGCTTATTGGCTTTCCAGAAGCTTTATGTGGATTTTTATGAATAGTCTTTTAAGTAAAAAGCAAGCAAACAAAATACTTAGTTTATTAAAATTTTAATAATGTAGAAATGAAGAAGGTTGTTTTTTTTTTGTTTTTTTTTTTTTTTTTTTAATCTTACTGGTCTTTCTGGGGAATTTGGAGGTGCAGTAACAACTCTGGGAGTAGGTAGCCAAAGCAACCTCTGAAATTCTTTATTCATGAGATTTTTACAGATAGAAAAAAAGTTTTAGTTGAAAACAGCCCTCTTCCACCCACTCTCCAGCCTACATGTGTTAAATAAGTCAGAGGCTGCTTCTGTTCACTGTATGTGAAAAGCAAATTAAAGTAATTAAACACTGGGTGTCCTTTACCCTGTGACAGGAGAGATCTTTCTTGTCCTGGAGTACAGAGCAGCTTTCTGCCAGCTCAGTCACTTTCACATTTAATTGCTGAATTCTCTGGTGCTGTTTGATTTGCCCCTGCTCTGCTGGAAGGAAGAGCAGTGGGCAGCATATTGGAGGTGTCACGGGCAGCTCTGTCACTGTCACCTCCTGCATGCCCCTGCCTCAGACATCCAAAGGGATGCTCTGAGTTAGCAGAGACTGAGCTGCTGCACTGCCAAGTGGGGATTGCACACACAGGGACCATGGCACAGCAATGTTCCTGCTACAGGTGATGTGGGACACCAGGGGCAAGGTAAAAGTCTCATAAGGACAAGTGGGATTTATACACACCAGCAGATTAATGTGAAATCAATTTTTTTTCAGATTTAGGTCTTGAAAATATGTTTCCAACTTGTGTTCAGAAATAAGAGTACTTAGATAACATTTCTCCTCCCAAAGACAAATTCTGTAAAATTACTTCACTCCCATGGAGGTGTGACGTGAGGGGGTTGAAGGGTGACTTTCTGGGGGATAGAAGCTGTTGGGTCATCTCCAGCCATTCTGTGTTCCAGCTTCTTGCAGGGCTCCTTTTTACCATAAGGCATTGGAAGAAAAAACAACCCCACATCTTTTAAATTAGCAGCTTTTCTGTTCTAAGGTCAGTTTTATTTTGTTGTTTATATATTTTTTCCATTCTCTTTTTGAGAAATAACTTTGTTGTTTGCCATAACAGAATTTATTTCCAGGACTAAATTATAAGTGCTGTGTAACCCAGTCACTTCTGCAAATCCTGATTTTCTGAAGTCTCTTAGAGAAACTGCTGATGGCAAACTCAGGAGCCACTTGAGAAGCTGTGTGTGTGACTTTGACTTCAGACACAGACAGAATGGGCTCTGTTCTGTAAGAACCAAATGGAGACTATTTTTTTCTAAGATTTCAGATCTCTGGCGAGCAGTGTCACTAAAAAAAAAATTAATAGAAGCAATTCTTAAGTTTCCTCTAAGAAATTGAGGTAAATGCAGTATATTGAACTTAAAAGTGCAAATTTAGGAGTGACCAGGCTGTGTCCATGAATAGAATTCAACAGTGGTGCTCTATGCAGATGCTCAGCCCTGCAGGAAAGAATTTGATGATACCAGGAGGGCAAGAAGAGGAAAAAAAAATCCTCTGATCCACATCCTGAAAAAATGGGACTGTGTACCTTGTTGCCCTGGAGACTTTCTGTATGGATTGATGGATTTAGAGCAAACTTCTCTACTTATACATGCAGTTTCTGGAAGAGAGAACCTCCTAAACGCAAACATGCTGTGAGCACAATCCAGGTCTTCCTTTCCCCATCTCAGTCTGATGTATCTTCCATTGTTTTAAATGTTTCAAATATTAGGTAAGTAAAGCTCCTGGCTCTCCAAATGTGTAGGAGAACAAGGAGCATGGGCAGAGCAGTGTTCAGTGGGGACAGTGCCTTGGCAGAGCTGAACTGAACCTTTTGATCTGTTGGGGTCAGCTTTGGCCACACTCTGCTCTGTGGGAGTGGGGCAGCTGCTGGTCACCAGGAAATCAAGGCTTGAACCTGCTAGAAAAATCTCCTTACAGCGAGTTACAAATTGCAGTGGCCCCAGTGGTTTAATACAGTTTGGAGAGTGTGATCATGCCACACAGCCTTGCTGTGCAGCACTGGCTTGGCTACCAGGCTGACACACCAGACAACATGGAATATTTAGCTCTTAGGTTTTATTCTTTGCCTTTTGTCTTGCTGTGCAGTTTCCCTGACTTGTGAGTCCTACAGGTGAGCTCTTTCCAGCAGAAACTGTCATGGCCATGTGGCATGGGGTACAGAAAACCCTCAGCTCCTGATTTTTTAAGGGGAGAGGGAAGTGCAGGAGGACCAATGCTCATGGGGAAGCCCACCTGCAGCAGGAAATGTGAGAAGAAAGATGGGTTCTGCTGGAGCCCCAAATGTCACCAAACCCAGTGTTCAGGCAGAGCAATGGGATGGGTGAGCTCCCAGTTTGGAATGCTCTCCCAGAGAAGCTCAGAGCCGCTGGTTCCTCCCTGGTTACTCAGTACAGGCTGTGGCAAACTCCCCATGAGCACTGCCTGTGCATTCAAACAGAATGAAATACCACAACAGAATGAAATATCACAATAATAATAATCCATTGAAAGAGTGGCATCAGCTTCAAAGCATCCACAAAGTGATGAGTTGTTTCCCTGGCCCAGAGGGAGGGTTAGAACCCTCTTTAACTCTCAGGTCCTGATTCAGCAGAGCACTTAGCCGTGCATGTGAAGTGTATGAATGCTCCTCAAAGTCTTACAGGGGCTGCTCATCTTTCGAAAGCAAAGCCTATAATAGTAAGAGTTTCTCTGAATGGTGACCACTCTGCTTCTCACAGCCTCTGGCCCAGATTTCCTGGTGTTTCACTCATATTTCATGTTTCAGTGTATTGACCTCCAATCTGCCTTGAGGAAAAGCCATCAGGAGGGGAAGGCTGCTGCAGGGTGTGTTCAGAGGCTCTAAAAAAGCAGAAAATGGGATTTGGTCAAAGACACAGCAACAGAGTGTTTGTGTCAGGATGTGACTGGCAGGGAGTGAGGGAAAGGGATCCATGTGGAATCCCATGTGTCATACATCCAATAAAACAGTTCCAGCAAGTGAACAATGCCTGTCAGGCCCTCCCTGGTGTGCTTGTGGTTGGAAAGAGGATTTTTTGGCCAGCTTGAATTCTGAGCCTGGTAAAACACAGAGTTTTCTACACATATATTTCATACATTGGCTAAAATTATGGTGGTGCCTCATCCCTGGAAATGCTCAAAGCCAGACTGGAAGGGGCTTGGAGCAACCTGGCATTGGAAAATGACCCTGCTCATGGCAGGGGGGTTGGTACTGGATGGTCTTTAAGGTCCTTTCCAACCCAAGCTGTTCTAGGATTCAATGATTCTGAATATCATTAATGAAGCTTTCTTCTGCAATAGAAATTATCCTGGATATTGATGAGAGCAACACAGGGCATGGATAAAAGCATTCCCAGAAAATCAGTTAGCGCTCTCAGCATGACAGGTTCTTCTGTAGTATTACTCTAACCAGGCTGTGGAGAAAAACAGGATTATTCTGGAGCTATTCTTGAATGTTTAAATAAAGAGTGGAAAGCAACATGTGCTCTGTCAGGTTCTGAGGTTTTTGCCAGCAGAAATTCTTAGACCAAACTCATTATGGCTGGTAGCTGAAAACAAGCTGTCATTACTTAAAAATAAATAAGAAATGCCTGATGTGATAAAACTTGATTTATTCAAAAAGGGCTGAGAGAAATACACTTGCATTTATTGTTGCTTTCTGCATTAATTGGAATTACAGCAGTTAAATTTGGTTCATAGGAAATATTGGCCACATATCAAGGAATAAAATATTGAAATCTGTTATGTAGTAGTTTAGCTTATTGGAGCAAAATAAAACATGGTAACAAAGACAATGACATGGAAGTGTTATCAACTGTGCAATTTTGGGGTTATAAAAGAAGAAGCTTGCAAACAGACTTCCATATACACACATTTTGTCTGTGTTCTTGAGTGCAAGCCTGTATGTGTGTGTAATCGCATTGTAAAATCTCCTCCTTTGGATGAAATAATTTATCTACACATATATACACGCAGCTCCCCTGGAGTACTCTGCAGGTCAAAAACAGGGTTAGGAGCAGCATCTGACACCACTTTGAACCCATTTCAGACGATCCAATACCCAAAACTGCAGCTAAAATAGGATTTAGGACTATTTTTAGTTAAATAGGATTTGGGATTTAGCTATCCAGAAAGACACTGTATCCAGGTGTTTCTGGATAGCTGCAATTCTGTATGTTGAGCCATTTGATTTAGAAAAACAAAAACAAAACCAAAAAAAACCCAAACCCCAAGCCCTTTACCTGCTGTTTGTGGGAATTATGGACACTCTTGCCACATTCATGCAGCTTCATCTGGAATTGTGCTGTAATCAAGTTTACAAGAAATCAGCATCTACAAAATAGCTTGACACCTACCAGTGTTAAGCAGAAGCTTTTTTTGTTCTGATTTTAGAACAAAATCAGATAGTAATTTGAAATGGTAGGGGCTGCCAGTGACCAGTGTTGAATCAAGCTGTTGTCATATTGATCATTTATACTTCTAATTGGGTTAGGTTTAGAGGAAGAGCAAGGAGTGGTGAAGTAAAGCTACTATTCCTATAAAGCTGTGTTTTATGGCTTTCAGAACTTACCCACTTTGTGTATCAAACTTGGAGCTCTCTGCTCACACTTCTCATTAGTTTGCATAATATTAAATATATTAATTTTCTTTCCCTACTTCTCTCCAGCCTGATTATTTTGGTTTCATGCTGTGGCAAATAATTTCCTTTGCAGCTTATGAAAGATGAAAATAAATTCATTAGGTAGTAAGTGTTTCACATAAGTAGTAACTTAAGACTTGATCAATGATGCATTCAAACATCAAAAAACACAGAATGACAATCAAAAATCTAAATAAACATTTTTCGTTTTCTCCTCCTGCCTGGCAGGCCTCCCACAGCATCACCATGCAGTTGGGAGAAATGGGTCTGGAAAGTAAACTCATCTCTGTGGAACTGTTAGGTAAATACACTGTTTTTTTACATTTGATGCTTGGTTTCCTAAACATGGGGGAACAAGCTCCACCAGATGCCCAAATCAGAAATTGTTGTTAATACAATTATCCTTGTATGGACACTGAATGGGTGGATGATGACATTTGCATACACACAGAGCTTAATCTGGAATCACGGGGCGATTTTTTTGCAAAAACTGTATCAATTTGCTAAAGCATTCTCTTCGGTTCATAACAGAGCTTTTTATTTACAGCTACTCAGATTGGCATACAGCAGAATTTTGAGCAACCTCCTCCAGCGCACTACTCTAAAGGGGCTCACATCCTTGCACTGGCACATGGCACCAACTCCTCACTGCACAGGGTTTGTGGTGCCTGCTCCTGCTGGCATGAGAGGTGTCAGACAGCTTGTGTCCTCCACGGGTTCCTCGCCTCCCTGAGCGATCTGTCGTAAGGAAGAGTAGCAAAAAAAGAATTTTTCAGCTGGCAGTTTATGAAGAACACAATGAATGTCACAGTCAAGAACAGAAAGAAAAATAGAATGATGTAAGTCACCAGGTCTGGCTTATTTATTTCCCCTTCTTTTAACACCCTGGCTGTCGACATGTAAAGAGCAGAGGAGCTCACGGGTCTCGGGGTGCTGCTCAGGTAGGGCGTGTTGGTCTGAATCATTAGGTGAGCTTCAGTGGCGCTGGTGGAATTGAGAAATTCACTATACATGTTCTTGCTTAAATTTCTTCCACAGCAGAAGTAAAACAGGAGGGCAAACGCAGTCAGTCTTTGGCATAGGAAAGAAACAATGTTCCTGCTTGTAAAGGGATGCAACCCAGCCGCATGTTGTCTGAAACAAATTAATTCACTTGCTCTGCTCAGCGACTTTCTTTTAAATCTTCTTGCCTCATATTTACAGCATTTACCCACAAATATTAATCAAAAATGATACAGGTACCTCGTGTCCTGGCCCTGGTTGCCCCAGCACTCCTCGTTTGGGGAAATGCGCTGGCTCATCTGCCGGTCAGCCGGGATGTGCTGGGAAGGCGCTGCGAGCCCGGTGCCACCGCTCCGGCATGGATTAGGGGACAGAGAGCCTCTTCAGCAGCGGGCACGGAGCAGGGATGAGCTGGGAGAGCGCTGAGAGCCCGGTGCCACCGCTCCGGCATGGGCTGGGGGACAGAGAACCAGGGAGCCTCTTCGCCCGGCTGGCAGCGGGCACGGAGCAGCCCCGGCTGGGCTGGCAGCGGTCACTGTCCGCCCAGCGGAGGCACGGTGGTTTTCCAGCGGCTCTGCAGAGGTGGGACGCACATAAATCCGGGGTTAAGCGGCATCTGCCTGCCCGGAGATCCGGCCGGATTTGCGGTTCTCTGCCTCGGGAGGCTCCGCGCTGCTGCAATCCCGGCGCTGGGAAGCATTAGTTGAGTTTCTTAATCCCGGTTAACGCTGGCGCTCTCTGGAGCCAGCGTGAAGAGGCTGAGCTTTCTGCTTGAGCTTTCCAGGCACTCCTTTCATTGCTTTGAAGAGAAATAAATTTAAAAAATAATAATTTTTAAAAAAGAGCGATGTCCCTTTGGTCGAGAAAGAAACCCCAAAAAATCTTCCCTGGGGATGGGTCAGTTCTTTGGCAGCCTCCCCTAGCGCTGGGCTCAGCCGAGGCTCGGGCTGGGGCAGTGCGGCTCTGTCAGACCCGGCTCTGTTGGACCCGGCTCTGTTGGACCCGGCTCTGTTGGACCCGGCTCTGGCTCTGTTGGACCCGGCTCGGTCAGGCCCGGCTCGGTTAGACCCGGCTCTGTCGGACCCGGCTCGGTTGGACCCGGCTCCGGCTCTGTCAGACCCGGCTCGGTTGGACCCGGCTCGGTTGGACCCGGCTTTGCCCCTCGCTCCGTGGGCAGCGCACAGGGCACAGGGTAGGGCTGGGTAGTGCCGCCGACCGCTCCGCAGCCCGCGGTGCAGCTGGCGCTGACACGATGCTAAAAAGGAAGAGATCTTCGGATAAATTCCCGTGAGTGCCTGAGGCTCTGGCTGGAGGTTTTGAGCTGGGGGAGGGTAGCAAAGAACGGGACAAAAAAGAAGAAAATTGCCTCAAAACCTTTCTTTCTTCTTCATCCCTTTATTGTTTAAATCTGGAGTAATCAATGTCCCTTCCTTTTTTTTTTTTTTTCTTTTTTTTTTTACTCCTCTGTGATCCCCAGCACCCTCTCCAGCCTGACAATTAGCATGTTAATTCTTTTTTTCCAGCAAATTGCTTTATGCTGCTATTAGCTCCTGGCTGCTCGCCAGCTTGCTCTCACAATCTCCCTTGCATCAGATAAGCGCCGTTAATACTTTTATTTTAACGCAATGGAACTTGAAAAATGGGCAGGGGAGAGGAAGAGTAACTGGGCAGATGAAAACACCACCTCCAGCCCCAGGGTGCTGATCCCAGCAAATGCTAAAGCTGCTTATGATGAGCTATTGCAGCCAACAGTGCCGGTGGTTAAACATTTCACTTAGCATAATAAATGTTTCTGCTGGGAGAGGGCGAATGAAGAGAAGAGAAATCTTCTAGTCAGTTAGATTTGAATAAAATAAAATAAAATCAACACCCTCTGAGGCCCTGGTCAGCGTGTTCCTCATCTCCTGCCAAGCTCCAGGTGCTCCAGTTAAACCCCTTGTGCCACCGGCAGCTCTGCTGGGTGGCAGAAAGCTGGCACATCTCTGTCACATTGCCGTTCACATCCTCCTGCACCCATCCTCAGAAGAGCCATTCCCTGTGTGTTTACTCACAAGTCCTGGGGACCCTGCCATCCACAAGGAGTTCTTTCTCTATGGCAGGTTTTCTCGACTTTTGTTCCTCTCTCTTTCTTTCTCTTCCTCCCGTTTTTCAGCCCCAGTGCTCTGAGTGCCTCCTGCTGCTCTCAGGATGGCAGCAGGGCCTTTTCCTGCCTGCCCCCAGAGCTCCTCCTGGGAGCACATCTCCTGCCCACAGAGCCACAGGAGTTACACCTATTTACTCTGCAGGTTCAAAGAACAGGATGCCCAGGCAGGCAGCCGTGGGGGCTGGAAAAATCAACAGAGGCACAGAGTTTGAACTCTCATGCTGAAATGTCTCCTTTCATGCCTCCTTCAAAGAGGGGACTCTGTGAGCAGTAGCACGGCAAGGCTGAATGCCTTCCCAGCACCATCCCATCTTCAGCTCTCTCCTCTCTGAACTGCTTTTGAGTTTAACAAAGCTTTACGTCCTTTTTTATTTATTTCCTTTATTGTTTTCATTAATATGTAAGAAAATCAAGAAGGCATCTGGGGCTGAATCCTACAAATAGTGTGCACAGTCTCAATGTTTAACATGCAGGCTCTCTGCAGATGTTTCCAACTCTGTAACAGGGGGAAAATGCAACAAAAGCTGCATAGGGATGTCATGATCATTGATGTGTTTCCTCCCTGAACAGGAGTGTGGTGCAGAAGAAAGGGCTCTGCCAGGGGCTCCTGGGCATCTTTCACCTCCATCCCTCTGTGACCGCGTTCACAGGGGTCTTGGGTTGAGTCTGTGATCTGACTCTCACATGGAGTCAGATCCAGAGATGAGGATCTGACTCCATGTTTCAGAAAGCTTGATTTATTATTTTATTATATATATTATATTAAAACTATACTAAAAGAAGGGAAGAAAGGATTTCATCAGAAGGCTAGCTAAGAATAGAATAGCCAGGAATGATAACAAAGGCTTGTGGCTCGGACTCTCTGTCCGAGCCAGCTGGGCTGTGATTGGCCATTAATGATAAACATCCAACATGAGACCAATCACAGGTGCACCTGTTGCATTCCACAGCAGCAGATAACCATTGTTTACATTTTGTTCCTGAGGCCTCTCAGCTTCTCAGGAGGAAAAATCCTAAGGGAAGGATTTTTCATAAAACATGTCTGTGACATCCCTCCATCCCTTGAGCCCATGGGGAGCATTCCCTTGTGTCCCTGGGGAGGATGGCACAGTCCTGGGACAGGATGGGACGGGACGGGACAGGATGGGATGGGATGGGATGGGATGGGATGGGATGGGATGGTTCCCTCACTCCCCTGGGGAGGATGGCACAGCCCTGGGCCAGGATGGTTCCCTCATTGCTGGGACAGGGCAAAGGTGTTGTTTTCCTTCCCTGGTAAATGCCCCCAGATGCCTCATGGGGCTGCATCCCTGCCCTGCACACACAGGGTGCCCCCCTGAGCACCCTCTTTCCACCCCTCTTCACTGCAGGTTGCATGCAGACACAGAACCAGAGTCTCTATATTTTCCCTTTTGCTCCTGCACAGTGTTCTCTCTCATTCCTGGAAGATCCTTGCCTCGAGGGTGCCGTGTCTCAGCTCTGGTGCCAGAGCTGTGATTGTGTCCCGTGGTCCCAGTGCAGCTGCCCAGCGTGGGGATCAATCCTTGGGGTGTTTTACTGGAGCTTTGTGTGCACACAGGGAGGTCTGAGCTCCTCTTGCTTCTTGGCTGCCTGGCTGGAGCTCATATACAAACTGACGAGAAGCCCTGGGAGTAAATCAGATGTATTTTCTGTAGCACTGTATCCAGGCTTAATCTTAAAACAGCTAAATTGCCATAAATAACACCTTAATTGCAAAAATAAGAGCTGATCCTTTCTCTTTGTTCTCCTTAATTTGGAAGAGTTTTTAAAGTCTTTAGTTCCTTTTAATTTTTCCTCATTAACTTTTTCCTTATTTAGTAGTTTCACTGGGTTTGTTTCTTGGTTTTGGGGATTTTTTTAATTCTTTCCAAAGGCTGCCAGCATTTAGTGGCTGATTTTGTGAGTTTTTATGTGCAGTAGCACTGCAAGGACAAACACAGGGCCTCTGACTTTGGCTAGAATTTAATGATAATAAACTTTAGAGTGTTGCAACTTCCTGTCCTGCCTGGAAACTGGGTCAGCATCTCTGGCCCTGGTGGTATTATGGGGACAATGTGGGTCTGAAAGGCTTCTCCTTCCTGCCATGTCTGGGTTTGTCTGCCCTCAGATACATTCAAGAGGAAGAAATTTTTTTCAGGTGTGTTGGTGTTTTGTTCAGGTGTTTTGTGCAGGAGTTGGTTGATGGTTGTGGCGACTCAGTGACAGTTCTGGTCCAGTCTTGTGAAATAAATAATGACATAAATGTCCAGAGGTGAGAAGAGGGAGAGCAGAGCCTGCGCCCCTCAGCCCCATCCCTGCTGCCCTCCAGGCTGGCAGGACAATCCTGTTTGCTTTCACAGCTCCCACCACACACAGCACAAACCCTGGCGGGGTGGGAATTGCTGGGCGTGGATCCACGCTCTGAAGGGCTGCAGCCTTTCCCCAGCCCCAGCCTGGTAAATAATGCATGATCTCTGTCATGTGCTTACGCAACCCCTACCACGATAAACACCAACCCAGGGAAATGAAAGTGGAAAGAAACATTATCTTTCTCCCTAATGCAACCATTCACAATCTGCATTACGATCCTTCTGCTCTGCACAGTGAGCAGCAGGCAGGGGGATGTTTCTATTAGCAGACCAGAATGCCACAAATCACGGGCTGGAACTTTCCAGTGCCGCATAAAAGCAGCTTAAAACCATATAAAGGAAAGAAAATAAAAATAACATACAGGGATTATTTCCTTTTCTGTTCGCTCCAAAGGCAAATACTTATTTCCAGGTGCCTGAGTTTCAGATGTTTAGGAACATATTTTCAAATGCAGGCCATAAAATTTAGCATTAGGCACCTAATGTGGAGATCTTGCCTTTGGCTCTTAAATATGGGGCAGGATGCCTGAAGAAATTGGCTCAAGTGCAGAGAAGCCATGAAAATGTTTTGTTTCAGAAGGGCTTGTGTGTGTTATTTCAAACCAACTTCTACCATTATGTTCCTCAGGTCGCGTTTGCACCAGCTAAAGCAGGAGCATTTAGGAAGTTTCCAGAAAAGTCTGAGGCAGTGGGGTGGAACTGGGTGATCTTAAGGTCCCTTCCAACCCAAACCACTATAAAAGGGAGTTTGAGTCTCTTTGGTCAGTGCTGCATCCAGATCCTTTGCACTTCTCCAGGCTGGGAGGAGTGCTGTGATTCACCCAGCCATGGGATGGGCAATGGGCACCACACACCTCCTGCCATCCCAGTGAGCTTTGCCTCTGCTCCAGTGGGTGTAGGGGAGTGACTCTGGCTGTTCCTGAATGGTGGGAGCATCCCAGCCTCCCTGCCCTGCCTTCCCATGGTGGGCAGCTCCATGTGGCCTCTGGAGGGTTCTGCAGTGGGAAGAGCTTCACCCTTGGTGAAAGGTTGTGTGTGATCATGCATGGATTCCCTGGGTCCTGACAAAAATGGTCATTTCTCTGTGCAGTCACCTTCTTGGTGTGACAGCTGGTCAGAGTTTCACCCAGCCAGGAGATGTGGGTGGGCATCCAGTGACACTCGTGGGGATGCAGCTCCCATACATCCACACGTGCAGAACACGAGCAGGAGGTGCTCTGGAACAAAAAGCAAAAGGTTTAACTGCAGAGAAAGGTTGTCTTTGGTGCCTCGTTTACACTCAAACAGATCCTGAGTCAAACAGTGCTGCTGTTTCAGCTGAGCTGGGAGCAAAAGGGGCCGTGGGGCTGGGCTGGGCTCTGCAGCCTCAGCAAAGCTGCCCCCAGCTCAGGGCTCAGGTAGGCACTGTGGGGCTGCTGCTTGTGCTGGCTCAGGACCATGGCAGTGCTGGCCCTGCAGCACCAGGATGCTCCCCGGGCTGTTCCTGGCCCAGCCTGGTGCTCTCTGGGCAGGGAGGCCAGTCCAAGGACAGGAATGTGCAGGAACAGGGCTGTGTGCTGTTCACTGGGTCTGCGTGGCCAGCGTTTAACCCCAGTTATTGGGGGGTGAATTTTAGTAAGAAAAGAAAGGATGAAGGGATACAACTTCAACAAGGTTTCAGTTCTGAATATGGTTTGCTTCTGGTGTCAGCAGTCCCTCACCAACCTGCAATATGAATAAAAGGCAGTATCAGTCCCATTCTGAATAGATCCTTTGGGGATCAAAAGGAGATTTGGGGAGGCTGTGGAAAATTGTGCTTCTCTGTCTCCTATTCATGTCTCTTCTCAAAAGGATTAAAGGGAGTCTCTCTCCAGGCTGCTGCACAAAAGAAATCCCGCCTGTGTGTACAACCCTCCTCCTGCCTGTTCCACTGGGATGCTGCAAAACTTCCCATTTAACTGTAGTGTTGACTTCATTGTGGGGAATTCAGAGCAGAAGGAGCTGGAGGTCCCCATCATCTCTTGGAAAAGTCTTGAACTCTCAGGCAGAAATCCTCTGGCATCTCCCTCCTTCTCCCTACATTAATTTTGCCAGTTTTTGGGATGTCAGGTGTTTGGGATGAGCCAAGGATTATTTGTGAATCTTCACAGATCATCACAGGGTTTTTTATTACCAGAATCTGCTTTATTTATGGCTTCTTGCTGGTCCACCTCACCTGCCTGGTGTCAGAAGTGTTTCCTGCTCTGTTCCTGAGCCCTGGGCAGGCTCTGTCAGTGCTGGCAGCTCCGGCTGTGGCTGTCAGGCAGCAGTGACAGCCTGGGGACATGGGGCTCCCCTTTCTTCTATGGGTATTGATTTTTGCTCTGCTTCTCTTAAGGTTGATATTGTCAGCTCTGAGAGAAGTCAACAGCAAGTAATAAGGTGAGTTATTAAACCAGGATGATCTCCTAGACACAGCGGGGGAAGCTATTTTACAGCCCATGGATGGGTTAACAGCCCATGCATGCCAAGCCTTGGTGTCTCTGGTCATGTTCTGTGCAACAAGATTTCTATTTTGCAATATCTTAGTTTGCAAACTCCTCCTTAGTTTGAAAAACAGACTTGGTAATACTTCCTTACCCTGCAGGGATCCAGAGGATTAATCAGTA